CACGGTCTCACCGAAGATTCTTCCCAACATCCCCGCAAACATCGACTGCTAGAAACTCCACGTTCATCACGCCGTGCCTTCGGCCCCGCCCACTGCCTGCAGGAAGTACGCCAGACCCCCGTTTCCATCTTGCCGGGTTTCCCTTACTTCTCCGGGGATAGACAAGGAGATAAAGCAGAGTGCAGTATGTAGTGAGCTGTCTTTTGTGTAACAAAGAGTGAAAAACGTGCATGTGTGCCTGTGTACTTATATTTGCAAAAAATAACAGTGCTGGAAAATAAATGAAGAACTAATAAAAATGGAGCCTAAGTGGTGAGCGGGGGCAGGAGTGGCAGCTAAACTTCTCTGGATACGCTTTGCTGCAGAGTTTATGCTGGGAAAAGCACCCAGTCCCTCGCCTGTGTGCGGGTCTCGCTGCTAACTCAGAGCACTTCCCTTCTGACACCAGATCGGTGGGGGTTTCCCCCACGTCAAGCAATTCTGCGACACAGGTGTCCCGCAGCGTCACTCAATCCTGACACTACCTTACCTGGAATTAGCATCAGATCTTGCAGGCTAAGCCTTCAGTCCCACAAGATTGCCTCCCCCTAGACTTCAGATGCCGGTTATGAGTAGGAGGTCCCCAGATGACCCACGACTTCCGTCCGCCTTGGCCAAAAATCAGAACTTCCCACAACCCCCTCCTTGGGTCCAGCAAATTTGCTAGAGCAGCTCACAGAACTCAGGGAAACACGTTCACCAGTTTTTTATATAATATGGGATTGGATAAAGGAGGAAGAGCCAGACGGAGAGATGCGCAGGGTGAGGTCTGTGAGGGTCCCGAGTGCAGGAGCTTCTGTCCCCGTGGACTTGGGGTGCATCACCCTCCTAGTGTGTGGGTGTGTCTGCCAGCCTGGAAGTTCTCTGAACCCCGCACTTTGGGGGTTTATGGGCGCTCCCTCATGGAGGCATGGCCCATGATCCCCTGCATCTCTGGAGAAGCTGGGGATGGGGCGCTGAACATTTCAAGTGTCTGATCCTGGCTCGTTCTTTGTGGCGACCAGCCCCCACCCAGGAGCCCACCTGGAGCCTCCTCACCAGGACAAAGGACACTGCTGCCGCCCAGGAAGTGACAGGGTTCAGGAGCCCTGTGTCAGGAACTAGGGTCAGGGACTAAACACTAGAACAGAAGACGCTCCTCCTGCTCTTGTCACTTGGGAATTTCCAGGGACCCTGGAGCTCCGCGCCGGGCACCGGTGGCAGAGGCCAGCATGGATTTTCTGTTATCTCACCGTGCGTGGCTTCAGAACTAAGCACATGTGTTCCATATTCAAAAAAAAACTTGAATTGAGAAAGAAAGTTTCCTTATGAAGAGAAACCAGCAAGCATGTAAATCTATATGGAGTTTGCAGCACAACCAAGGAAAAGATTGATTTCAAAGGACCCCAGAGCGTAGTGCTTGCCTTTATTCAGTAGGATGTGCTTTCAGGACCAGAAGAACAACAGAGAAATCATAAATCTCATTCAGTAAGGCCTATTGCTAGCATTAAATCTGGCATTGTTATTTGAGAGCGTTTTTGTGTTTTCTAGGAGAAAGGCAGTAAGTAATTATGTGGATGCTGCGAGGAAACAAAAGTATTGGTGTGAGAGAAAGATGAACAAATGAACAATCACACGGGTTAAGTATAACACTTCAGTCTTAAATTTGAATTGGAAATGTCAGTGTAATCGCAAGCTTTATTTTTTTCAATTTATTTAAACTGAAAGCAGGAATACCCCACCTGTCTCTCGGCTCCCTCCCGCCGCCTCCCCGCGCCTCTGGCAACCACCAGCCTCTTCTCTGTGTCTGTGAGCTTGGGTTTTTTGTCTCTGTTTTTCAGATCCCATGTGTAAGAAAGGTCATGCGGTGTTGGTCTCTCTCTGTCTGACTTTGTTCACTTAGCACGATGTCCTTGGCATCCACCCACGTTGTGGCAAATGGCAAGCGCCACTCTTTTATGGCCGGATAGTACCTGTTACAGATCCCGCGTCCACCGTCCATCAGCGGGCCCGTGGGTCGTTCCTGTGTGGCGGTTACTGAAAAAAGTGCTGTGGTGAACGTGGGGCGCAGGTATCTTTTTGACTTAGTGTTTCATTTTTTTCCCACATAAATACCCAGAAGTGTAATGGCCGGATCTGTTGGTAATTCTATTTTTAATTTCTTGAGGAACCTCCATACTGTTTTCCACAGTGGCTGCACCAATTTACTTTCCCACCAAAGTGCACAAGGTTTCCCTTCCCTCCACATCCTCGCCAACACTTTTTGTTTCTCGTCTTTGTGTTATTAGCCGCTCTGGCAGGTGCGAGGTGACACCTCACTGTGGTTTTGATGTGCGTTTCCCTGACGGTCGGTGATGCTGAGCATCTTTTCATGTCCCTGTTGGCCTTCTGTGTGTCTTCTTTGGAAAATCGTCCCTTCAGATCTTCTGCCCATTTTTAAATTAGATTCAACTTTTTGCTGCTGAATTGTTTGAGTTCTTTATATATTTCAAATACCAGCCCTTTATCAGACACATGATTTGCAAATATTTTCTCTCGTTCAGTTTGTTTCCTTTCCATTTTGCCAACAGCGTCCTTTGCTGTGTGGAAGCTTTCAGTTGCGTGTCTATTTGTGCTTTTGTTGCTTTTGCTTACGGTGTCAGACTTTAAAAAGTCATCACCAAGGCCTATGTCAAAGAGTTTACCCCTTACCTTTCCTTCTAGGAGCTTTATGGTTTTAGGTCCTACATGCAAATCTTTAATCCATTTTGAGTTAATCTCTGCGTGTGGGGCAAGACAGTGATCCAGTTTCATTCTTCTTCATGTGGCTGTTCAGTTCTCCCAATACCATTTATTGAAGAGATTATCTTTTTTTCCCTATTTTATATTCTTGGCTCCTTTGTCATAAATCAATTGACCATATATAGTGGGTTTATTTCTTGGCTCTCTAATCTGTTTCATTAATCTATGTGTCTACTTGTGCCAGTACCATACTGTTTTGATTACTGTCGCTTTGTGATATAGTTTGAAACCAAGATGCTCGATCCCTTCAGCTTTGTCCTTTCTTCTCAAGACTTCTTTGGCTATTCAGGGTCTTTATGGCTCCACACAGATTTACGGTTGTCTGTTTTATTTCTGTGAAAAATGCCATTGGAATTTTGATAGGGATTCCAGTGAATCTGTGTATTGCTTTGGGTGGTATGAACGTTTTAACAATATTCGTTTTTCC